ATTATGGCTCCTGTCGATATATATTATTTACATTTCCAACATCATGCTAAGAATGGTGGCAGTGTCCCTTAAACAGCTATATATGAGCAAAAAAGGAGAGTAATCAATTTTTCAGCACGTCCCATAAAATCGTAATTTTGCTGGTTTTTTTCCTGACCGTCGCTCTTAACGGAACTACCACTCTAAGCCTGCGCTAACTTAAGTTTTAGATAGCTATTACGTTAACGTTTTTATTTTCAGATAAACTTGCAGGAGTTTGTCAAATTTTCTTTGAGGGATCTGGGCTACGTTTTTAATACTTCTGTACTTACGGATGATACTCAATTAAAATCTCACAACAAGTTTCATTTTCCTTGTGCCTTTTTATTAACCACATATCCCTTACAAGTATAACAACATTTAACGGATAATGGTTTCTTTCCAGGCAATCTCGTCGCAGTTTAATGCTGTGGAAAGAGAAAAAAAAACTTTCTGGAAAAAAAAAATTGAAGGCATATATTATACCTTACTACATAACAACCACTCAGTGAAATGCAATAACCATAACAAATTCACCATTAGCCAATCAGAAACCGTCTACTGTGCTGATATCCTGCGATATCGAGTCGCTGACCTTTTATGATCTGAGGGAACTTTCTACCTATTAGCTCACTTTTAGTACGCTTTGACGGCATACCATGCTGCTTTGGCCCGGCTCGCTATGGGTAATTAATTTGGTTCGTCCAAACTCCAACCAAACTAGTAGGATTCGAAAACTGAAGAGTGCCGAAAAAGACCGAAAACAAGTCGATAGAGCAGTCATATAAGTAGCGAAAAATTCTTATAAAAGTATCAATAAGAAGGACCAAGAGGAGTTGGTGCCACACGTTATGCTAAAATCTTATTGGCCCGAGACAGAGAGCCGGCCTTTAGTTACNCTACTTGAGACACTTTTCATTGCATGCCCTCTTAGTTTCAAAGTTGTTGGCATTGCCGCCGCATCCACCATAGATGAATGTTTTGCATTTTCCAGTCACTTTGTCAAAATAGTAGCGTGGAAAGTTCGCCTGGCATTCACCGATTATCTTTGGAAGCAGGCACGTCTGCGGGTTCTGACAAGTCTCCTGGCATGCGGCAAGAGTTTCGAAGTTGTTTGCATTGCCACCGCACCCACCATAGACGAATTTTTTGCATTCTCCAGTCTTTTTGTCAAAATAGTAGCTTAAGATGTGTGCCCTACATTGACCGGTTACCTTTGGAAGCTGGCAGTTCTCTGGACAAGTCGTCTGGCATGCGGCAAGAGTTTCGAAGTTGTTGGCATTGCCATCGCATCCACCATAGATGAATTTTTTGCATTTTCTGGCCACTTTGTCAAAATAATAGCTTGGAAAATATCCTTTACACAGACCTGTCTCGCTTGGTAGGTTGCAGATATTTTCTCCTTGCGCCACCATAATACCTAAGTAGCTTATAAGGAAGTAAAATATTAGGTTCTAAGAAAAGAAATAAACTGCATCAAGGAACATATCAAGGACATGAGGATAGAAAATTGTAGTGGAGACATAAAATGAAAGAAATGAATGAAATGATCTTCACTGCGTTATCAAGTAAAGAAAGTCTCGTTTTGCTTGACTCAATTTAGCGGTCTCGCGCCAACACAAGATGTTTGCCGAAGAATATGTCAAACACATTTTGTATTGTGTTGAACATTTCCCCTTTTAGTTTACAAAAGGCTTAAAACGGAGCGCAAAAGTTTAATGTTGCCTCTTGCCTTTGGGTCTTAAAAGCTGACATCCAGGTATTTAAAAGTGCCTTTCAATATATATCTCACCGGTGTATTAGTGACGAGGTGGTGGGGAAGACCTTTCTCGGGTCACGGTGAAGTTAACGATTTAGGAAGCTTCGAGGTAGAAACCCTCCACCAATTCCTGGTGTTTAGTCACCTGGTTTTGATTATTTCCTAACCCCTGATAGAGTTCAAAAAAATGACAGACCAACTCAAAACGGACACTTTACTTACCGCTAATGATAATGATGATGAAAACATCAACAAGACTTGCTCTCTTGGCCATTATTGCTACAATTTTGTTATCGAGTCCAACCTAACCAAAGTAAAGTCGACTTATATAGCAATATACTTGTATAAATTAATCTAAAATCTTAATTCGCTTAGAGTAATAATTATAATATACAATAAAATTATATTTAATGCTCACCATTTAATTGATTTATTTTTAAAATATGGCGGTTTTCTAGAAAAAGATAATATATTCAATATAATTTCTTGCATGCCATGGATGGCCAGCAAAATGTGCCAATTTTCGCATGCTCAGCCGTAAGAAAAGCATGCGAACAATTGTCCAGACCATAAACAATAGAAGACAAAAATGGCCATAAAATGTCAAGATGTTGGTCATTTCACCAAGTGTACTGAAATTCACTAGATTTCTCCTTATATTATTGTATCCCTTCATACCTTCCATACCCCCTTGACAAGAAAAATACTTTTGAACTGTTATTTTTCAATCTATAATCAGCCTTCTGGAGATGATGTTTTTTTAGTGGACCATAGTTGATAGGTGGTCCCTTTACCGACTATGAGTGGACTATCCAATAAGCTTTCGATCAAAAGTTTGTGCACGGAAAATATTTCTAAGTGAACCAGTTTTTTGTGTGGTTTGATTGGTTTTAGTGTTAAGAGCACTATTGGCATGGTTTTGGGGGCTGCCCCTCGCTAAGGCACTATGGAACTAAGGCACTATTAAACTACGCACGAAGGCCCTAAGGTGTAAACTTTAATGTTTGTTAAATTAATTCATTTCAATTAATTAATTAGTCTAGAGGCAAGGAAGTGGTGGGGGCGGGGTGGGAAAGGTACTTGTCTACTCTACGTAAAACATGTTCGACCTACGCCGGTTGAGTATGAACATCGCAAAGCTATATATTTGTTTCAGAAAACCCCTTGCTCTCCTTGTGGCACTATTCTCTATAGAACAAAACCAATTTGCTCTATAGGCATGCGCAGATTAGTTGCGTTCGTGTCTTTTATATATTAAGCGGAGGATACATTGCATACGCGATGACACACAAATGTTGAGTGGTTTCCTTATGGTAGAACCCAACATGTAAGACGCATGCTTCTAGCATCGTTAGCGTTATATACTATGTTTCCCGCGGTTTTAGTTTTATATGTCATGTGACCGTTGACGGCAGTTAGTTTTCAATTAGCGACACTTCTCCTTTTTTAGAGCAAAACTGAAACGTTACTGTGGGTGGATGTGTATCTTTTAGAATTACCCAAAGGTCGGTTCAAAATTTTCAAACTACAATAGTACGTTTGTCAGGGTTCAAATAAAGGAAAGGAAACGTATCCCTTCTCCTTAGCAGCTTTTTTATTTCTTGCCTTAATTGCGTCCGTAAGAGAGACCAGAACGTTCCCGAGTTAGGGGCTTTAATACACTTCGAATTGTAAATTTGTGACAAAAGAAACCAGGAAACTGCTCAAATATTGCTGCAGGCGCCGTATCATCTAATCAAAGTGCAAATTCATTTAATTACTCTTTGAGGAGACTCGTTCACCGATGCAGAATATAATACAAAAAATATAATAAAAAATGATTTTATATTTTACCTTCGAATCTTCGGGTACCCTAAAGTCGTTTACTTTGTTTATCACTGTCAAAGCTATCACGAAACTGAATCTAGGACAAAAAAATAAATTCGAATAAAAATTTAAAAAATTAGCCGTCGTGGTTGACATTCTCCAGACGACGCAGAATTTGGTCATTTCTCGTTGTTGTTTTGCAGAGGACGGCAAAGAAATTTACCAAGAATTATAACGCACGTGCGCAGCCATTGTTCTCCTCATTAAACCTTTTCTTTAGCCACGGTGCCCGTTGCCGTCGCTGTTTTCTTAAGCTCCCTAATTTTATTAGCTGGAGTTTGGCGCCGTCGTCGCCCTTCGCCGCGAGCCGCCGGAGCTCCATTACTAGTTATGACCACCAGAGGACTGACTTCTATATCTAAAAATAATTTGAATGGGATTACCTTGAGAACAAGACCTCTATGAGCGATTTAGTTTCTTACCCTTCATCCTGAGTCTTGTTCCAGACTACATGCTTTTGTAAGTTGCACGGTTTAAATCATTATTGTCGGTCCGAGAGAGCAATAAAAAAATGCTACAACGAGCTGCGAGCTCGAGACGCGCGCATTCGTATATAATTGTATAATTTCTCTTCTATTCATTTTATTTTCAAGTTCCTGCCAATTTAAACTTGCCCGAAAGGTATTGCATGTTTTTTTTTTGTTACTTGACCAATTTTGCGCCTTGATATGATTGGCACATTTAACATTTTGCCTTTTCCTTCAGTCGAAACTCAGGAAATGCCAAAAATTGAGTGTATGTCGACATACTGTTAGCTCAGCCAACAGGAAGGTCTACTGTTGAATTTCTTCAGACCTCCCTCAAGACATTATAATTTCAATTTGTATAATATAATTCAGACGGTGCGTTATTTTGACCACAAACAAGAACAAATGCAATTTCTTAGTGGCGTTACCTGCAGATATTCTTGATTTACAGGACTCCGTTCTTTTATCAGCCAGCCGACCAACAATAGTGCTTATGAATGGTGTCATCAGAGAAACAAATTTCACGACCAAGCCTTTCTTTTAAAATGCAAATCGAAATTTTTGCGTGGAAAAATTCCCCAGGCAGCAAAGATGAAAAGAATACCCTCGTGAAAAGAACACGAAGGTGCCGGAGGTTAGAGAAAATTTATCGCAATTGAGGCTTGGTGTGAATTTTGAGTGCGTGTTGGTAAGTTACAAATGTTATCAAAAAGCCGAAGTGTTGGCTTAAACTTTATCACATACTGATGTCTGAAAACTCATCAAAAAATTTAAAGATCAAAATAAGACCTGGCGAAAACCTTTTTACGTCATGTTTCTCTTTAAAACAATATACTTTCCATACCCTCTATACCCTCTCGTGAGAAGAAAAAATATTGATACCTCTGTAATCCCTATGTTGACATGATGTGTCTTCAGTAAAGTGTCCAAAGAACTTCTGACGTGGCCGAAATGTTGTACAATATATATCTTTCTTAGCTGGGTCAATCAATAAATTTGACGCTGTGATTGGATTGGTCACAGTTTCGGCATCTGCTTTATTACAATGCCTCGCAAATGACAGTTAATCCTTTTTTGTGGCCTTTTTATCAGAAGTGAGCTGCCTTGAATTTTTTATTAAAAACGAGCAACATTTTTTCCTGCTCGTTTCGCTCCTTTAGGAACCATTAAGGTGTATAAAATCGATCCTCAAACGTTCTCGAGGCCAGCCAGTGCTGTTTCATAATTTATCTCTAAGAGAGGGAAATAATATCGAGTGATTATTTTGGATGATTGGTTTAATAACTTACCACTTCGATTCGGACCTCCTTGGCAGCTAAAGAATGACTTGAAGCAGTGAACCTGCATTCCCAATCTAGTATGTCATGGAGACTAGCTAGAAATAGAGGTTATTGGGAATCTTAATGCCCGCCTTGCTTTTTGTTGTATTGCGGAACTTAACCAATTGCAAATTACTCGCAGTGGCCTCTACGTTAGCGCTGAAGTGCTCTAACAACTAAGCTATGAAGAACCATTGTCAAGATATCAAGATAGTGAAAGCGGGACAATTAACATTGTGTGGTGTTCTGATGGGAGAGAGTTCCACGGTAAGGCCTAAGATAAGAAAACTTTGCTGAAAAAGTTGCAAAGTTTAAACTAATGTTAACGTAATTATCGTTTTTAAGGAGAGTCAAATGGTGGACGATTGGCCGGTTTTTATTTTCCTACGACCGCACAAAATCGAGAATCAATGAGTTCGCGGTGGTATGTTATCAAATGCTTTTAGTGTAGATTCAAAACCTGTATGTAGCTAAGGTATGTTTTAACCCATTTACTCGTGGAGCTTTTTGCAAAAAACGCATTTTTTGGACATTTTGGAAATTTTCAGGCTGGATATGGGCCAAATTAGGTCCAATCTACTCCAAAAGACTTTTATAACATGACAGCATGCCTTTCTTTCCCTTAGCATCGCGTTTTACGACATTTTTGCTCGGGTATGCGCAGAAATCAAAATTCCGACGTTTTTGGACGAGAAAGTGACCTACGTCTTTAGGCTTTTCGATTTTATTATTATTATTTTTTTTTTGGCTCTCCTTTTTCTCCTTTTCTTTTCTCTTTGCTGCACTGACTGACCTTCTACTGGGCTTGCTTCCAGTTTAAAACA